CCAATGGCGAAATAATTTCTCAATGATTCTTGTTTTCCTTGAAGAAAAAACTACCACTATTTATTGAACAACCTAATACAAAACTATAACTAAGCTAGTTGTAAAGCCTATATTTCATGAAAAATGTCTCAAAAAACCACAAAGTTTAGCAAAATATGGTCTTATAAGCCATTTTGGGGTCCCGTGTTCAAACTTGTCCCAAAACGTTTTCCAGCAAGAAAACTAGTTTTTGGCCCCGAAAATGGGGTCAAAAATCAGCCAGAAATTAGTGTATCTGTCTTTTTTTCCGCAAAAAAAACCAATTTCCGGACTTTTCTCTAATTAGATCTCCTCGTTTTGAACTTATAATTAGGAACCGCCTGACTCATAACTCCTCTGTGTGACGTAGCAAAAAGAAAGTGGGCGTGGCTTGCTAATCAGTATACAGAACATAAAAATAGACAAAGGGACCCGAAACAAAGCGACGACGCAAATTTTTATGCGCTCGCTCTTGTCGACGAAAACGAAATGATGGGTTTTTTCTTTGGGAGGAAAATGAAGAGAGCGGCATGAGAGATAGGGATCAGTGAGAGACGCAGAGGATTACATACAACAATTGATCCGTTAAACGACCCCCGGATATACAAGCACTTCCTAAGCATCATCATCATTCTAGGGAATTGATTATGTGTGTGGGAGTTTCTTTTTGATATTCCAAGAGTTTCCCCAGATTTCAAAAAAAAAACTATAGTTTCTCGATTTGTGACAGGATGTTACGCTTTGACTTTAAGCTCACATATCTCGTTTTCTGTGAAAGATATCAAAAAGTGATCAGCTAACAATATTCTTATCATAAAATCAGCATTATTTTATCAGTTGACCATTTTTGGGTATCCCTTACAGTAACCGAGATAAATTGGGTCAAAGTTGATAGTGTGAACAAGGCGGAGCGGGATTTCGGAATTTCACCACTTTTAAACACTTAACAACTTTTAAAGAGAATTTTCAAACGGTTTTCAAAAACTGGTTTGAACGAGCTTTCAAATTTCTGTCGCAAATCACACACTCTGGTTTCATCTGAGGAATATAGTGGCCTAACTTTCTCAACATGATTTTTCTAGGCCATAAACTTTAATGACTTAGAAATGCCCTGATATTACCCTGGTTTAGTTTAAAGTATCTTCCCATAGTGGTCTAACTTTTTCGAAACGGGTTTTCTAGGCAACCAACTTTTTTGACCTTGAAATGACCTAATATTAATTTTATGTTATTTCTAGGCTATTTTAACATGGTAACTTTTCCAAATTGAAATTTTCTAGGCCATTAAAGTTTATAGCCTAGAATTGATCTAACATTTGCCTGATGTGTTTTCTAGGTCATTTAGTGGCCTAATTTCTCACCATGATTTTTCTAGGCCACCAAATATTACGGCCTAGAAGTGACCTGGTATGTTTTATAGGCCATTTTCCATTGTGGTCTAACTTTGAGTTTTCTAGGTGACAATGGAAAAAGGCTTAGAACAGACACCAGATGAATGTTAGACGATTTCTATGGTGGCCTAGAAAACTCAACTTGTAAAAGTTGGGCCGCCACGCTGAAATGATCTAGAAGTCCCACCAATTGAATATCAGGCCATTTCTAGGCCAAAAATTGGTGCTCTAGAAAACTCAACTTGCAAAAGTTAGGCCACCATATTAGAATGGTCTAGACTCAATGACTTTCTGAGTTCTAAAAACCCTGGGAGTGCGGAACGGAATTTCCGGAATTAGGTTGATTTTGAAATTTGCGAGAACGGGCGGAAACAAATTTTGGCCAAAACTTTTGACCAAATTTGTGGTCTAAAATTTTCAGTCTTTTCTAGAAAAATATTCTGAAATTGAGAGTTTTCAGAAATTCAAAAATTGTTAAATTCAGATTCAGATGGTTTGTATTGGCTAACAATTGTATTGTCTTATCCCACCAAAAAAAAGCCTAGGCCCCACATTTCTGATGATTTATGTACAAGAATATGAGCAAAAATGTGGAAGATGTGGACCCAGAAAATACAAACTATATATTCACATAGAGCCCGTCGTCATCACCAGAATATATAAAATATCCAAGAAGAATTTCGTCAGAATCCATCAGATTTTTTGGGGAAAATATGAGAATTTTGCAGTGAAAAAGTTACACGTCATCTGATTTCCGTACTTCCCGATTCATCCAAAAACAGGAAGATGACATTTTCAGTCAGAGAGCCAGATTTTCAGTCAAAAATAAAAACGCTGAAAATCCGGAAACATGTGCTTCTCAGGAGCTTTTTTACGTGTGAATCGAGAGGAAAAAAGAAGAGGAAAGGTAGAAAAGGAGAAGAAGTGATAAACATGAGCAAAAAAACTGGATTAGGGATTTGTGTGTGCAAGAAATGAAAAATAAAAAAATCCCCCTAGGAAGCAAAAAAATAGGGAAGAGGGACTGGGAATTTTAGAGATTTTTCAGGTTTTTTAGCAAAGAAAATTGGATTCAGAATTTTTCAGAATCGCGAAAAAAATTTGAAAAAGTTTATGGAAAATTGAAAATTTCCACCCATATTTGTCTGGCAAATCGGAAAAATCGTTAAAAGATGTTTTTCAAAATTTTTGGATAAATCGGAGATGTGGAAGAGAAACTTGGTTGAAGGTCCCACAACGACAACTACAGTAACTTGAAAATTATGCAATATTCCGATTTTTGTCGAATTTTCGCGTTTTACTACGGTTTTTCAGTAATTTTCTCCTGAAAACGTCAGAAAAATTTGACTGAAAACGCACGAAATTCAAAAAATAAATCACAAATATAAACATATTTTTAGGTTACTGTAGTTTTCGTTGTGGGATCTTCGGCTTTTTTGTTTGAAAAACTTGATTCTCTTTGATATTTTTGAAACTTCCAGGAACACAATTTTCACTCGAATTTATAGAATTTCTGGAATTTCCTAATTTTTTTCCGGAATTTTTCCAAAATTTTCAATTAATAATTCAATAAAATTACTGTATCAGAAAGTTTCATGCGCCTTTAAAAATATTATGCTTGTCTGAGAAAAAAAAGGTTAGAGAGTATTCTTTGCAGTCTGAATACGGTAGCGATATCGAAGCGG